AAAAAAATTAAAGTTGAAACCTAAAAAATACAAGTTGATATTTAATGTCAAATTTTTACCTTATAATGTGAGAAGCTAAAAAAGCAAACATAAAATAATAAGAATTTAATCTAAATTAAGTTGAGTTCTTTAATTACACTTTTTCCATTTTTAATTTATTTTCTTAATTGCAGTTTTAGATTTTATATTTTCAGATTCAAATAAATTTCTTTCAGTTTCTTTTGTTTTATTTTCAAAAACCTTCTTCAGTTTCAGGATTAATTTTTTTACACTTTCAAATTAGTTTTCAGCTTCACATTTTGACCCCAATCTGACAGGAGTGGGCGGGGAAACGTGATTGACAGCTTGCAGCAGCACTGGAGTGATGCCCCTTTACATGTTGCATTCATGGACTGTGGGAACTCCAACTACTTGGTGAACACATTCTCTGAAGCATTTGTGGGTTTTTTTTTTTTGTTGTTGTTGTTTTGGCAAATTTCTGTGAAAAATATTACATTAAAGACGTTGTAATATTGAATGTGAAAAAAACTGATTTGAAAGTGTAAAATAAACCTTGAAACTAAAAAAAAGAAACTAGATTTTAATCTGAAATAATAAAATCTAAAACTTCAATAAAGAAATACATTAAAATAAAAAGTGTAGTTAAAATACTAAACTGAATTATGTTTTTTTTTTCAATCTGAGGGGAAGAATTTAGATTAAATTATGATTATTTTATGTTTGCTTTGTTTTAGTTTTTCAGATGATAGGTTAAAAATTTTACATTCAAAATCAACTTATATTTTTTCAGTTTCAATTTTTGTTTTTCAGAATCGGCTAAAATGTTTAAGTTTACAAACATTTTGACTCCTCTCTGACTCCATAGACTCAGCCCCTGAATTCAAACACACCGACTATGTGTCGTTCCATCACTTTGCTCCCTTCATCCTCACAAATTAATCATACAGCCAGAATCACTGACTGAAACATCGCAGCATCTGCTGCATCATTTGCCTGATAACTAAAAGATCTGCCTAATCTGTTTTTTCCTCTATGAAACGTTGCAGTGAATGAATGTTTTTCATTGTCTCAGAACTTCAGGATGTACGCAGACCTAGCAGTGAAGAACATGAAGGAAGTGACCAGTCTGAACAAGATGGCAAACCAATCGGCTCACAGCTCCGTATGTTTATCATTATTTCCTCTCTTCTGTTTCACATCAGTAACGAGTTGCAGGGAGAAGAAGAGCAGTAATTTCCATATTGTGTGGCCTCATCATTAAATACTGTAAAATGCAAGATGTAATAATGAGAACTGTTGAAAGAATTCATCAACATCTGCATGAGGTCCTGCATGGACAAGATCTGACAGATAGATGTGTTCACACTGCAGGCAAATTCAATTCTCTTCAGTGTATTTCTATAGCTCCAATTCAC